TCATGGCCAAGTGTGGGGTTTGGGAACAGAATTATCCAGGTTTAAACAGCAGCTCCATCATTAAGAACTGTGTGGCCTTAGGTCAGTCACTTTACCTCCTTGAGTCAGCCTCCTCTTCTGTAAAGATGACAGTAAAGGACTGAGAAAGTTCAATTCGATCTGTATGTGAAGCACTTCACACAGTACCTGCCCCAGAAAGGACTCAGTAATGGAAGGTGACTGTCACTGTGGGTGGCTGTGTTTGCCTGCCTCATAGACACCTTACAGAGGGACCGAGTCTTTATCCTTGAGCCTCCAAATTTTAGTGAAGACACTGGTACATAGTAGATATTCTATCTTGGTTTCATCAAATTGAAATGATACACATCATACCAGAGAGGGCTCTGGAAGGTCAGAGGTTACATTTCATTTCTGATTGTGGAAATTAAATTAAATACACACAGAGAGTGGCTGGAAGTAGTGGTTCATGCCTGTATAATCCCAGATACTCTGGAGGCTGTGATCAGGAGCACTGTGGTTTGAAACCAGCCTGGGCAAAAAGTTAGTAAGACCTCATGTTAACCAACAAACCAGGCAAGGTAGCGTGTGCCTGTGTTCCCTGCAGGAGGCACAGGTAGAAGAATCACAGTCAGAAGCTAAGCCCAGGCAAAAACATGAGACCCTATGCAAAAAACAGCAAAGCAAAAAAGGATTGGGGCATGGCTCAGTTGGCAGAGCCCCTGCCTACAATTGAGTTTGGCCCAGTACGGCCAAAAAAATAATAACACATGTACACATGTAATATATGTATATGTACATATATGCAGGGTGGAGCATGGGAAGATAGAAATTTGAGCAGACTATTGAAGGAATGGCACGATTTTGCCAGGAAGACATGGAAGGTAGAAGTGGGGTGAGGTTGGTCTGTAAGGTTGGGGCTGTTTTGGGGCTGGCGGGGGAGTCTGGGATGGGACTGTGTGAATAAAGGCGTAGCAGTGGGGCTCACAGGCTTCACCTTACCAAGATGGAGCTGAGTTCATGGGTTTGCAAAGGGGCGTGGTGACAAGGTGCCTGCAGCCTAGCGACGATGCTCAGATGGTCCCTCAGGGAAGCTGCAGAGTGCGCAGGGAGCCTGAGCCAGCTTCCCACCTTCCCACGCTCTCCAATGCCATACGCAGCTGCTGAGAACATTAGCACGCTGTCACTGTGTGGTGGTCACAGGAAACAAAGCAAAGGACCTGGGCCTCGTGGAGCTTGCCCTCTAGTGTGGGAGACAGTTGCCGGGCAACTAGCACTACATTTAATCACTGTGCCCAATGGTGACGGGCTGTGGAGGAGACTGAAGGTAGCAGAGACAGGGTGGGCTGCTGTCTCTCACCAGGTGGTCAGGATTTGAGCATAGGTCTGAAGGTGTAAGAGGTGGAGCCATGCAGAGATCTGGAAGAATAGCATTTGATGGTGAGGGAACAGTCACCCAGATGTCCAAAGTGGGAATGAACTTGACCTGTTCAGGAAAAAACAAGCTAACCCATGTTGCTGGAGGAGAGCATGATAGATGAACCAGCAAGGGGACAGAGATAGAGCTGCAGGCCAGAGTGAGGGGTGTGGGCCTATCCTCATTGCAAGAGGAGGGGTGAGAGCGGACACATGAGGCAGGGAGTGAGGCGACCAACTCGCCCTGGCTGTTGGAGGCAGGCAAGGGTGAGGGCAAAGCTGGGAGGCCACTTGCAGATGGTGGCCGAGTCCAGGGAGATGGTGACTTAGACAGGGCACCAGCAGTACATGTGACCAGGAGGGATTGAACATGTGATCCACACAGGCTGAAGCTGCAGCCAACAGCTCTGGCTGATTGTCACCAGAGCGTGTGACAGGAAGAGAAGTCCAGGAGGCCCCAGGGCGGGTACGTGTCACGGGCCTGGGTGGTTGATTTCTTTCTTTTCGTGTGTGAATCAGACACACATGTGACTTGTGGAGGACAACAGATAACACCTGTCCCCTCCCCCAAGGAAATGAACAACAATGAGTGGAGATGCAGGCGTTGCCTGCCTAACCACCTATGGTCTTCATGCCCAGAACCCAGCAGGGACAGGTGCACTGAAGGGCAGGTAGCCAAGCCTTGGCACACACAGGTCTGACCTGGGCTAGGCCAGACAAAAGTCTGCTATTTCTCCATCAAAAGTCAGACTAGTGGCCTGGCCCAGGTCCTGGCCAAGGAGCCAGGCTGCTAAGGGTTGTATCTGGACGCACGCAGCCTTCTCCTAGGAGCTAGGCTATGCCGGTGGCAGAGGACACTCCATCTGTTCTGCAATAGCGTGCATGGTAACTTTACCCTTCTTCATAAACAAAAAAGAAAGTGAAAGACATTGCATTCATGTCAACTGATGGGCACCTCAGTCCAGAGGCAGGGCCATCAAAGGACACCAGATGCTTGACACCGGAAATTTCCCCAAACCTGCATCAGTAGAGGCTGCAGATCGAGGGGGGACTAGATGTGACAGGTGCCTCTGCGGCTCAGTTCTGTGCCTCTCCATGCTATCTTATGTTCTCCTATGACTCTCAGTCATCAAGAACCAGGTAAAACACCCCTGCTAAGAACAAGACAAAGGCCGACGCCTCCCACCCCCCAGCCACATCCAGAACAAGGGTCATGGGCACTTCCCACAGGCTGCTGTTCTCGCTCTGTCATTTGTCTTTTTGGTAACTAAATCACAACTGTAGGAACAGAGCTGGTTTTGACAGTGCATGGAGCTCCCCACACCATTGTCAGTGATTTTTAACTCTTAGCAAAGGTTTCCCTCTGCCCTGTGATTTTATTAGATTGGTTCTCACACCAAAAGTAATGCTCTGAAGAAGGCAGGGAGAAAAAGTCCCACTGTGCCATTCCTGAACCTTGCGAACACGGCAAGGAACAACAGAAGAAAGAAAAGATATTTCACATTTTAAGGGCAGGTTCAGGTGCCTTAAGAACTGAGCCAGTTCGTAAATGATTTCGTTTGGAAACTTCCAGCCTGCAATTCAGTCATTCTTCAATGAGAAATATGTGATTTGCCAAACATGAAATGGAGTCATTAAGCCCTGACAAAGTCAGAGGCAAAGCAAAACTGTGGCTGTGTGTGCCCTGCGCTCCCTTCTGCTCCACAAATTAGCCATCCCCACGGAAGGCAGTCCAGATAGCTGCTAGCATGGGGCTCTGCCCGGAGGAAGGCTGCACACTGATCATGGAAATGCATGCAGCTCAACTTCCTTCAGACGCCTAATTACCACCCTCTCTACCCGCAATGCATGAATCCCCTCACTCAAAGGGACTTTGCCTCCTTCTACATAGCTTTGCATGGAAAGCACCACCAGCATAAAACTGTACAGCACTGCACGTGCACCCGCACACAAGCACGCACACCAGCGAAGGTGAAAATTTGTGACATCTGAGTTTGGTCTGTAGTCTAGTTAGTAGTAATTGGTCAATGCTAGCTCCCTGGTTGTTCTGTGGTTACAGAAAACAGTGCCATGGGAGAGCCGGCTCAGGATACACAGGACTCTCTCTCTCTCTCTCTCTCTCTCTCTCTCTCTCTGCCATTTTTGCAAAATCCTGTGACTCCCTAATTATTTCAAAATAAAGAATACTAAGGATGTGAGTGCAATTGGACTGCTCTGATCTGATCCGTCACACCATTGTGACAGATCGCCAAGGTTGAGTCGGTTGATCTGGGTGGCTAGATGGGTGCCCCCTTTCCTCCCTCGCCAATTCATGCACGTTCCTCCTGAAGCAGCACCGTTGGCCAAAAAGGATGACCATCACCATTAGAGGAGAACCCTTCTTTGGTCAAAGGTATATGAGTAGCCGTGCTCCCCTGCCAGAACCTCCAAACGAGCTCTCAAGAATATTAAGATGAACTGGTTTGATTAAGTGGCCTGGGACCAGTGGAACTGTGTGACTACACGTGTCCTTTAACTTTTCATTATATGCAGAGCCACTCTGGGGAGCCAAGAAACCACCAGAGTCATTGCTTCCCCAGAAATCATGTCCCAGAGGTGACAAAAAGTTGGTCACTAGAGGAAGAGCATGAAGCTTGTGTCCCTAAGTCAACTTTTCCCACACTAGTCCTACTGAAAATTAGGAGGTGTCACACATCCCATGGAAGAGTCTGTAGTGAGTGACAGGCCAAGGATTCCCTCTACCTGCCAAGCCTGCCTGGGAGTCCAGCCACAGTCCTAATAGGATCCAAGACCTGCCAACTCCACCCCTGGCCCAGAGGTTCAAGTTTTAGAATGCATCAGTCAGCTTAAAATGCTGATTCCAGGCCTCCCCAAATCCTGAGTAGGTGAGTGATGGACCCTGGGAATTTGCATTTACAACAAGAGCATGGGACGGTCCTGAGGGTCCTTTGGGAGCTGTTACCGTGTAGCACTCAGGATGCCTTATTTGGACTCTGTCATCATCAGCGCTACTTGTCACTGAGTGCTGAAGAAGCACTAAGCAAGTCCATCTAATTTAATCTTCACCACTTTGCTCTGATAGAATTACTCATTGTCCCATTTTACAGATAAGGAAACTGACACCCTTAGAGTTCCCTGACTACAAAGGAGGGGCAGAGCAGGGGTGGACCAGGCAGGAGTTGGTATTCCGAGCAACAGCCTCCCTTCTGACACAGAGACTCCTTCAGGGCCTCCTTTCCTCTGGGATAAAACATTCTGTTGAAAAATAACAGAAATTTCCCAGGTTCAGGGGTGGAGGGTGTGTTGTCAGGGGGAGAAGCAGGGACAGGTTCCAGTGGCCTTAATGCTGCCTACCTACTGAAAGCAGATAGAAAGCTCCCTCCATGGTCCCTTAATGTCGCCCTGTCTTTCATCTTCCGTCCTGTGTGATCCTAATCTTTCTCCTCTCTTCCCCAAAGTCCAAAACAACAGTGTCCTATGTCCCTACATTTTCTTTGTCTCCCAGTGCTAATTCCAGCATTTTCTCCTGCCCTCCTGTGACAGAGGCTGACCCAGGAATGTGATTTCTAGTGAGGCAAATGACCTACCGTTCTCCAGAGGACACTGTGGGATCTTGTTCGCCCAGAGGTTCCAAATGTAGTCTACGTCCCACTCCAGGCACACCTGATGGTCTTTGAAAGGGCGCTGGAAAGGCGGCACTGCCTGCAGCAGAGTGTAGTTCTTTGCCACAGCATGGAGCAAGTTCTCCTCCCACGTAACCTTCAGGTCCCCACCACGGTGTCTGTGTGTAATCCAGGCTCGTAGTATCACTGCGGATACGGAAATGGAGTGTCTAATGAAATAATCATCTCTGTACACCATGATGCTTGGAAATCTCACATGCACGACTTGTGTCCTGCTGGTGTGAAGATGCTTCTCGTTCTTCCACCTTTTTTTGTACACGGGGATGCTACTTCTGAACTCGGACGAGACGACGGCTTCCACGCTGACAACACAAGGCTGAGAGCATAAATACTCCACCGAGACTTGGGAGATGTTGCGCACGCTGCCTTCAAAGGCAGCGAAATAAATAAAGTCTTTGTAAGTCGCGCTCTGCTCTGCTTTGGGAGTCACCGACGTAGTCATGGAAGTCTGCCTACCCAAAGACGGTACAACATTCTGCAAAGGACAGAGAAAAAAGCAAGACATCTAGAACGTTTAAAAACTGTCATATGAACAAACATTTGAGTCATTATTTTCCTGGATTAAAAAAAAATCCCAATCTCTATAAAAAGCAAACCAGATGTGAAAAGTACTAGTGTACAATTGGAGAAAAGCCAACACACACACACACACACACACACACACACACGTTCGCATGCACCCACAAGGATTGGGCCACATTAAGTTCTCTCCTTAGGCTGCATAGCATCTGCTCATCAAATGTGACTTTCAGAGAATGCAGCAGTGACTCCAGAGCTGGCTTCTAAGTGGAGGAGCTTATCCACAACAAATCCAGAAGCCAAGGGACCCTCCTTAGACTGAAAAGAGACACTATTGTCCTGACTTCAAATGGTGATCAGATGTGCCAAATCAAAGGGTGGGAGAAGAGTTCAAAGGGGACCCATGAGCGAACGGAACAAGGATGCCAGCCTGGCCCTGACATCTCCTGGTAGTGTGGAGCCAGGACAAACCTGTGTGACAGTGGACCAGCAGGAGGTTTCTACTACTCCAAGTCACACTCAGGCAAGTTGGGATCGTGAGCTGTGCCATCTGAGCACTTCCCCACCAACGACACTACTGCTGTGCAAGAGAGATTCCAGCAGTGTGTCCACCTGGTTGGTTCTGTAAATGAGCAAAGTCCTTTCACTGTGCACACTTCTTCCAGAAGAAATCTGGGAGGCTTGCTGTGCAATCAAGACAAGGTTTTGGCATGAGATACTGAAGTATGGCTAAGAGCTCTTGTAAACATGATTTTGGGATTCCAGTACCCAAAGCACAATAGGAAAACGGTCACACAGGATCACTTCACACCCACAAGCATGGCTACCATTAAGAGAAAAAAAGAAAAGTCAAGAAGTACTGGTGAAGAGATGTAGAAATCCAAACCCTGTACACTGCCGATGGGAATATAAACAGGTGCCCTTGCCATGAAACAGTATAGCAGTTTCTTAAAAATCATTAAATATATAGATACATACGATCCAGTCCAGCAATATTTAATCCAGTCCTGGATTTAAACCCCAAAGAGTTGAAGGCAAGGATTAGAAGAGATATTTGTATGCTTATGTCCATAACACCATCATTTCCAGGGACGGAAAGCAACTCAAGAGTCCATCAGTGAGTGAATGGATAAAGAAAAGTGGTATAAGCCAGGAGCAATGGTACATGCCTATAATCCCAGCTACAGAGGAGGCAGAGAATCACAAGTTTAAGGTAACCTGGGCAACTTGGCGAGACCCTGTCTCAAAAACAAAAAACAAAATGAAAGCATTAGGAAGTGGCTCAAGTGGAACAGTGCTTGCTAGAAGGGTGAGGTCCTGGGTTCAATTCCCAGCACACACACACACACACAAAAGTGGTGTATGCTACAATGGAGTAAGTCTGATATACCATATAACATGGATGAGTCTCGAAGACATGACAAGACACAAAAGAACAAGTGTCGTGTGATCCACTCGTACACCACGGTACAGTCGTCGAATGCACAGACTGAACATAGAGGGGTCTAGGGAGGAGACAAGTAAAAAGGGGCCAGGCTTCCAGGGTGGGGTGATGAAAGCGTGCTGGGGTGGGAAGTGGTGACAGTTGTACAACGTGGGTTCACTCTCACTACTGAACTACATACTTTAAAATGGCTAACATGGAAACTTCTGTGATTACTTTTACCACAACTTTAAAGAAAAGGTTACTTCGCTCTCCCCAGAAGAAGGAAGGAGTAGGGATTCCTTTCCTCATTCTGCTGCAGCTGTGGAAGGCCAAAGTTGGATGGGTGAGACATGAAGTCTGGCATTAGGGATCCTGTGTGGAGGCAGAACACGGTCAGTGCTCCAGTGACAACACCTGAGCTCAAAGCAGTACAGGCCAGGAGAAAAATTCTGCCAGATGAGGGGTGGTCTGGAACAGGCTTTATGGAAGAAATGATATTTCAGTTGGGCTTTGAGGGATGAAGAGAAGTTTTTCAGGGGGTGATACAAGGGAAAGGAATGTAACTGGTGTGAACAGCAGGAGCCAGACAAGACAGCAGAGACACAGAGGTACTCAGGGAAAACGCAGCAGCTTGGCTTAGCCAGAGAACAGAATGGGGGCGGCAACACACAAGAGCCCAGGGAGAGATGGAAATGAAAGGTAGGTCCTGGCTCTGGAGAGCAACTGATCCCAGCCCTAGGAACGTGGACTTCCATTGACTGACAGCAAAGACTCAGCGGAGGTTTCTGGATGGTACTTCCCTTCTGAAGAACTGAAGTCAACTAGGAATGAGGTCATGATCCTCTTGAAAAATGAACAAATGATACAGCTCATTCATAAGTAAGTTCTCCCTCAGAGAAGAGAAATGCGAATTAAAACTACACTGTGATACGGCTTTTACCCTTAAACTCACAAAATCAGAAAGTCAGATCTCACGTTAGGCGGGCTGGCGTGTGAGAAGTACACAGTCCCTCTTCTGTATTGCTGGTGACAGCAACCTCTACCAAAAAGTATAAATGTACACACCCTTTGGCCCAACACTTCCACTTTGAGGATTTTACCCTACAAATAGACTCAAATCTGTGCAAAATGATGCATGCACAGATATTTCATGGCAGTACTATTGTAATAGCAGAAGATGGTAAGCTTAACTGTCCATCAAGAAAGGGCTACTTAACTACAATGCATTCACCCCTGGAGTACTATACAGCCATGAAAGAGGAAGATCTTCACATACAGATAATGGAATGAACTCTAAGAGGCCTTTGGGTTTTTTCTTTATCTTTGGTTGCTGTTTTTTAGCAGGTTTAGAAATACCATATTGTGGTACACAACACACAACACAAACACACTGAATCCACTGTAATCCACGTAGCACGGGTTGCTCACATGGAACATGTAAAAAGATGAGTGACCAGGACTTCTAGGGAGCTATGCATTTTACTATATTGTGCCCCATGAATACCCAAAAAGGGTGGCGAGCAACCACCACACTAAAAGGTGAGAACGGAAAGTATAGTTTCTGGAGATGGCACAGAGAGGATGGAAGGGCCAGCCGCTTCTATTGACTAGTCATGGGAAACTTGTGGGAATAAATACGAAAAGGGCTGGCATGATCCGAACTGTCCAACCCCCAGGATGGCCTTCACTGTCTTCAGCTCTCATTTTTACTGACAAATTACAGGGAGAAAGCAAACATAAAACATAATCTTATAATTTGAAGTGGAGAGTCCTCACTTCCTGTGCCAATCAGGAAATGGTGGCTTGCAGAGGCAAGTGCAGAGCCGGGCTCCTTTTCTTCACCCGCACCCCTCCCACTGCCCACCCTGGAGCACTGCAGCAAGGTGAGGAGCTTCGTGGTACCTGGGAAGTCCAGGCTGCATTCAGCATCGCACAAGCAGAGATGCGCCAGGCGCTGTGCACAGGCTGCGTTTTACTCATCCATAGTCATTGACCAGATGTGCCAGGCCACAGCACACAGGCAAGCAACAAGGTGAGGCAGCGTTCACCTAAAGCCAGCAATCACCGGTGTGATGAGAGAGGAACTAGCAGAGGATCCCACTGGGCACTGTATGCCACTTCAGGGTCCCAGATGCTCCCACCAAATCCCACGCAAGGAGAATCTGACTTTTCAGTGAGACCACAGGGAACAGAGTCCACGACACACCATGTATTTTAGGTAGCACACTACACTGTGCTTCTTCCCTAAAGAATGGCTCCAAACCTCTTCCTCATTGTTTTTATGCATTCTTGAAAAATTAACCCAGGCCCAATTCTCTCACTTTTTCTTTTTTCTGAACGTTTTTAATGTGATGCTCTGAACTCCAAACTCCAGTGGCAACCTCTTCTAAATAGAATGCTGGAGAAAGACCATTTGATTCCACTAGATTCCATTGTAAAGTGCGGTTAGTAATAACCATATTCATTATCTTACATCTGATTGCTAAAAATGTAGCAGCCACACTTCCCCGCATTAATAAGTGGAACGGGCTGGGCACGGTTTCAGCTCTGCCTGATGTGTTACACACCTCATCCTCGCCCTCTTCAGGGCCTTCCCTCCAAATTCTGTTGCAAAGACAGTCTCTGTGTACTCATATGAAGACTATTTTATCTTCACCTGGCTCAGAGTCTTGAATGCAAACACAAACCCAAGGGATCCAGATTTTAGACAGACACTATCCAACAAATCAGATCAGCCACAGTAATGCATGTGGCTGAGGTGTGCGGAAAGTGCGAAATGCCCACTGGATCTCAAAGCGTTGGTAGTTTTCTTTTTAAAGGCTATGAAAGATCTCATTAATTTTTAAATTGATTGCATGTCAAAATGATAGAATTTGGCTACATCAACTTCAATAAAATATATTAAAATTAATACTACCTGTTTTTGTTTGCTTTTTCTTAAATGTGGCAACTACTGAATATAAAATTATGTGTGTGGCTTGAATTTCCTACTGGATGGCTTTATTCTAGATTTGAGATTGGCAGACCTTTTTTGTTAAAAGAAAAAAAAAAAAGATGGCCAGATGGTATGGTCAATACAGTCCTCACCTGGTACTCACGGGAACGGGTTCCAGGACTCTTGCAAAGACACCAAAATCGTGGATGCTGAAGTCCCTCACACAATGTGGACTTTTTGTGTATACACACACTTCTGCATACTTTAAATCACCTCTATTTGCTTACGATGTCTAAAACAACATAAATGCTGTGCACGTAAATTATTGTACTATATCATTTAGGGAGCAATAACAAGAAAATCTATACATGATCTGTACATGTGAAAATATTTTTTGAATATTTTTGGGGTTTTTTTTTTTTTTGTCTTTTTTGGTGCTGGGATCAAACTCAGGACCTCATGCGTGCTAGGCAAGCGCTCTACCACTGAGCTACATCCCAGTCCTATTTTTTAAACATATTTTTGATCCTCATTTGTTGAATCCAAGGATTTAGAACACAGATATGGAGGACTGACTTAGTTCAGGTGTTTCAGG